CCTGCGGCAGTGCTGCTTACTTGGCCTCTTCCATCTGCCACTATCATTGCGGAGCGTGCTGTGGCTCAGGGGTGGTGTCGTGTGTCCCCGAGGCGGTCTGGGAGCTTGTGCTCGGTGTGACGAGATTAAGAGGTGAGGCCTCAGTGAGGGGTACTTAGGTCACCGAAGTACAACACGGGAAGGGATGGAGTTCTTGGGGGACCCTGAGTTACTTCCCTCAAGAGCCAGGTGCTACACAGCCTGACTCCTGGATCGCTTCTCTGGCCATCTGTTTACGATGTGATTCTGCCCTCTGTCATGAACTACCACACCGTGATGCCACCCACAAGACAGCCCTCACTAGCTTTGTGTCCCGGGAGGTTGATGGGAGGATCCAGCATACTTTTTAGCAGGCTCCTGGTGGGCTTCACCATCAGGTCCAAGAACCCAGACCCCAGACCGGGGTGGACCTGGGCCCCCTGAAGTTTGTCTACAGCATATGTGCAGGTCAGCAGCCTGGAGTTCCAAGTGCAGGATGAACACTGCCCGTACAAGCCATTGAAGCTGGGGTGCTCCATGCTGATATTTCAGCTAACACCAGTTGTCACTATAGTTACGATGGGGAAGTGCCTCCAAAGAGGTGAGACATCCTTAAGTGTACTTGGTGTGGTTAAAAACAGTGAATGTGGTTGGATGGCATTCGGCCATCTAACAAAAAGGCAGGGATCTTCATTAGAAGAGCACATCGAACCGTAGTAACAGTGTGTGACAAGTTTCAACTTGCTTGGGGCAGTCAGTCTGAGCCACGGTTGACAGAAGGAGTGTTTTTAAAGTCTCATAAATGATGGATCATGAGCAATGCATTAACATGAGAGTTTGTTTCAAACTGCAAAAAAGTGCTAAAGAAACACATGAAATGTTAAAATTAGTATATGGCGATGCTGCAGTGACCAGAAAGACCGTTTACAAGTGGTTTGAGCAATTTTATAAGGGTTGTGAATCTGTTAACGACAGAGTAGAGATCCGGACGTCCTTCAACATCAAAAACCCGAGAGAATGTTGAAAGAGTAAGCGAAATGATTGGCTCAAACAAGAGACTGACGATTAGGAGAATTTCTGAGGATGTGAACATTTCTTACGGTACTGTACAAAGCATATTAACGACAGACTGGGACATGAGGGGAGTGAGTCCAAAAGGTATCTATACTCAGCCACAGGAGTTAGAGAAGTAAGGCAGTGCGGGTGGTGGGTGACGGGCAATGTTTCCCTGTCATTTAACTTGCTGCCTCTGAGGTAGTGCTCTTCTCCCATGTTAGAGATGAAGAAATGGTTAGGAGGGAACGCGGGTTCCCACTACCTGTGAGGAGCTCTGAACAAGAAGCCCCACATGCGTGACTTTGTGGCTATGTGAGTGATGTGATGCCTTGAGATTTGATGTCTCTGTATAACATAAACATTTATTTAAGTGGGTTAGTCCAGTTTGGGGGGAGCAAAACGAATATAACCATGTCATAATTTCTTTTTCTGGTATTAGGAATCGAACTCAGGATCTTGCACTTTCAAGGCAGGCACGATGCCACTGAGCTAAAGCCCTGGCCCAGCACTTCGTAATATTTTAATTGCATTAACCTAGTTTTCCAAAATTTGTAGCAAAAGGAGCATCTGTCAGCATGTTAATTTTTAAAATGTATGTGGTATATTAAGGTATAAAAAGGATCTAAAGGACATAGTAGATTAGGAGATGTAAGTATCAGAGGTGATAGTTTTCACGTGGGAAGAAATGAGTCTGACAAGATACTCAGAGCCCACACAAGTTCATTCCTTGTACTGTCTGCATGTCTAGCAAGTTGATTTTCATTATCTTGTATGCCAATTACATATAACTCATTTTCCAGAATTTTTTTTTTTTTGGTACCGCGGATCGAACTCGGGACCTTGCAGTTGCAAGGCAGGTGCCAGAACCACTGAGGTAAATCCCCGGCCCAAACATCAGATTTAGAAGAATTTTTTTTTAATTAAAGTGATTTAACACATTTATTTAAAGTTTAAAGACAGTAAAAATTAATCTCTGATGATAAAGATCAGAGTCATGTTTACTTTTGTACAGGGGTTTGAGTGAAGAAAGGGCATGAAGATTTCTGAACTGCTTCTTTAGAGTAGGGAGCTAGAGATGTCACTGTAAAATCTGACACTGCATGCTAGCATCAGTCATGAAATACAGATGACCTAGTCTCTTTATCTGCCTTTCAGAATCCATGGAAGTGTATAAAACACATATTTAGCCAGAACCCTGGCTGCAAAGGAGTCCAGAATATCTAGAGTTCTTCCTCTTTTTAGTTTTTACAGGTGACAGGCAAAGTCAATGTTGCTCACAATAATAGATTCTGTACCTCTTGATGGGTGAACTGAAGTTTGAATAATAACCTTCGTTCTGGGAGGCAACCCTTCCAGTGCCTCTGGCTTTTTAAATGTTTGATGATCTTTGCTTTTGTGCTCTATTTCCTCCTTCAAACTCAAAAACTGTAGCCGGCACTTGGAGCATGGAGACTCTCTTTTTGCTCCAGTGTCTCCAACAATGATTCATGTATGAATTTGCAGTTTTGAAAATTTTAAGACAAAACAGACAAAGCAAATCCTTAGTGTTTTCATGGCACATTCTAAAATGTGTTTCCACATCAGCAAAGGCCAACGATCTATAATTGCAAAGCTGGCACACCTAAGGCATTTCCCCAGGCTTATGATTGTCCTTCATGTGGTGTAAGAGAACCTGATCTGTTTCAAATGACAACTCACAGATTTTACAGATAGCAGAGGGCTCCTGGGTAGTGTGCACCCGGTCGCTGTGACACTGCAGCTGGAATGGAGTAGGAAACTGCTGAAGGCAGTGCTGGCAGGTGGTATGGTTTTCCCAGCTGTCACCCCTCTGCTTCTCACATTCCAAATGGCACTTCATGTGATTCATAAACTTAGCACTTTTCAGAACCTTCAAGTAGCTGAGGCATTTAAAGGTTGAGTGAGTCTGGTTCTAGCTGCCCATCTTCTTTAAGTTGTCCATAGTAAAAGTCACTAAGTAACAGGATCAGAGTTCCTGTCTTGGGAGCAAAGGTCTTGTTTTGACCTGTTAGACCTGATAAGCCTGTTTTTACCAAACCTATCTTCTGGGTCTGGATCCCTGAGAACAAAAGGTGCCTGTTCCTTAGCATGAGTCCAAGGATGAGATGTTCCATTCTGAACACTGCTTGACAAGCAGATCTTTTTTGATGGTGTACATGTGTCCACTGTAGGAGAGATACCAGGAGGGATCATAGTAGAACACACACTTGGGATTTCATTCGAGTTTAGATCTTTTGGGGTTTCTACTGATTTTATTAGCAGTGAAAAGTTGGTTTGAATCATGAGGAGGAATGACTTCTGGTGAGCTCACTTTATAAGCAAGTTTGGATGAAGATTCGGTAGTAATGGGACTATTTGTTGATCTCCATTCAGACAGAGTTTGGCATGGCAGCCATCGCTTTGGCTATTGGGGTCACATGAATTCCAGGTTGAGACACACCAGCAGGGTCTTGACGGAGGTGGCCTTTCTTTCTTTTCGAATATGAGCCTGGGGTTACCCTTCAAAATATTTGAAATAACTGGTTTTGAATTTGAAATCACTTTGAATAAGATAATTTCAGAATCTTCTTTCACATCTTCCATCCCAACAAAGATCAGCTCATCATCTTCATCATGCTTGTCCCTCTGATTGGATTCTCTCTCATGCTTCTTCAGTAGTTCTGGTTTTTGTTCTTCACTCGAGGAGAAGTGATCTGCCATTTTAAAATTACTTTTTTTTTTGCTGTGGCAGTTTTTTTATTTATATATTAATTGGTCCATTTTAGGTATACAATACATTTACATTTGTCATTGGGTGCTTGCACCTGAACATGATGTATCTTGGTTCTTATTTTTTCTCCCATTACCTGTGCGCCCTTCCCCCCCTCCACCCTTCCCTATTTACATAGACTTTGTTTCCATTGTTTTTTTCTTTCTCATAATTTTTCCTTTCCCTTCTTCCCTTTCCTCTTCCCCTTCTGCCACCCCTACTCCTTTGGATCTTTTCCTATTTCAAATGATCAATTATTCGTTTTAATCATTTTCATCCTCATTTACACTTTCAGTTTCTCACACTAGAATTACTTTTGATTGAAGCAGTGGTCCCTTCAACTTCCAGTTTTCTTTTCATAAATTGGCACCTTGAGCTCTCTATGTAGCCCAAACTGGCCTCGAACTCGTGGCAATCTTCCTGCCTCAGCCTCCTGAGTGCTAGGATTACAGGTGTGCACCCAGAATTGGTAAATAAAGATATTTTGTATTAAAAAAAAAAAAGACAGCCCTCACCAGGGGAGAGCTGAAGCCGGTACTACACCTGTGAACCTTGAGAACCATGAGCCCAGCAAACCTCATCTCCTACAGTGCCTCCTAGGCAGTGCCTGCCTCAGGCCGGCATAATAATAATGGAAAACTCACCAAGACAAAATATCCCGTGAGTATTTTTTTTTTTTTTTGGTAATGGAGATAGAACTCGGGACCTTGTGCTTGCGAGACAGGCGCCGATGAGCACTTTTTGAATAAAAGGAAGGATGAATGTATGAAAGAGAGAAAGGGTAAGGGAGTCAAAGAATAAGGAAGCAGAAGGATAAAAGGACAGATGGGAAGCAGATGGACTGATGGTTAAGTGGAAGAGTGAAGGCTGGGTGTGTATACAGGAGTCTGCAGAGATGAATGAAAGGGAGGATGGATTGAAAGGACTGGAGGGTGGATAGATGGGACACACAGAAGACTAAATGGATATGAATGTCCATTAAAGTAGGAATGAACAGATGGGAAAGTTGTCATTGAGAGGAGGTCTTACTGTGTGGCCCAGGCTGGTCTCAAACTCTTGGACTCAAGTGATTCTCTCACCTCAGCCTCCTAAGTAGCCTGGACTGTAAGCCATGCTCTGCCATGGCGGAAAAGTTAGAATAAACGAAGGAAAGACCGAATGCTCAAGAAAATGACTTATTATTAAAGCACGGTGGGACCAGGAGGGTCTTAGTGAGGGGCCCAGCTCGCCTGAGTTGGAGTCTTCATCCTCATGCCTGGAGGCTGTGAGACAGCAGTGAGAAGAGGAGCTTCACATTACCCGCAGGGCTCCCTGAGCTGATCAGCACTGGAGAAGGGGTGGCAATGCACATTCCAGGGATTTTCCTAGAACTCATCTGCGACTAAACGGCAGGCCTTGGCTCACACAGCTTCATTTTTCTATTTCAAACGGCAGGTTGAAAGTTCTGGAAAACAAGGCAAATGGCTATTAGAGCTGTACGCTTCAAGGCGCTCCCTTTCTTCCTGCTGCCCCTTCGTGCCAGGCTGCTATTAGGTTCCAAGGACACAGCTGTGGGCCAGAGGCCAGGACCCATAAGTGCTTACAGTCTGCAGGAAGGGGGTGGAGACCTTGTGTGTCAACACGTGTCCCCTCAGTGGGGAACAGGGTAGTGCATGGAGCAGGTGATAGTGGCAGGTGGCAGGCAGTGAGGACGTGCCTCACTGGGACAGTCCCCCTGGCCTCAGACGAGGGAGAGAAGACAGCTGTGTACAAGGGGGACAGCGCTCCAGACCACGGGAGTGGCAGGGACAAAGGGCCTTGGCCTGGTCTAGAACGAGAGGGTGAAGGCAGGTGGCACTCATGGATGGTGAGCAGGGGAGAGGGTCTGCCAAGGGCACAGCCAAGGGCTGCCATCGTTATTCAAGATCATGGCTTTAAGTTCCGACCAAGGGACAGACCTGTCACTGAGTGCGTGGCTACCAGGGTGTAAGCAGGTGTCAATGATCGTGAAAGGGGCTGCTAATGTAGAGGCTTAAAAATCTCCATTCTTGGTGAATTCGTATCATTGTCCCTGCGCTTGGCATCTGTGCTAAACAGGCCAGACTCCAGGTCACCATGCCCTCCCTGCTCTGTAGTGGGGTCCATGCGGGCTTCCGCCTCACACAAGTGGCAGCCTCGCTGGTGAACACCCACGGGGCTGCCGCCTTGAGCTGGGCCAGAAGAACAGAGACACAGGCACCAGTGGGGCAGAGACGGTCATAACTTCACTTTTTTTTAGACAAGGTCTCACTGCATAGTTCAGGCTGGTCCTGAGCTCACTATGTAGCCCAGGCTGGCCTGGAACTCCAGATAATTAATTCCCCTGCCTCTGTCTCCCGAGTGCTGGCACTGCAGGCTTGTGCCACCATGCCCGGCTCCAACTCTACTTTTTACTTTTTACTTTTGAGGGGATCCGTGGTCAGTGCGGAGCCCTCGGCCCTAGTACTGCATTTCTGGCTCTGTGCAGGTGCTGTGTGCACTGTGTTATCTTTCAGGAGAAACACCCGTGGTCCACGCGCTGCCAGGAAGATGACAGCAAAGCAGACAGACGGCCACCTGGGTGGTGCTGCTCAGAAGGTCCCAGATCAGGCGATCTCAACAGCTCCCTGGTGACACCTGGCAGGTAGGTCTCTGCTGGTGACAGCGGCAGGGCTGTGCTATGTGGTATCCATGCTGATCAGCGGCCCTGGCCTCTGCGGCTGGGTGCTCAGTTGCACGCTCTCCTAAGCTGGTGCAGCCAAAAGTGTCCCCAGGCTCTGCCAGATGCCCCTTGGCGCCCTGAGTTAGACAGACATGGAGCTTTGAATGGAACCAAGCACCATGACAGGAATGAAGCTCGGTGGAGAGGAGGGGCTTGGGGAAGCTCTTGCTCGGGACACAGCCGGCTGCCCTGCCCCATCTTTGGTGACTTGAATGGAACTGATCTTTGTCCCGAAACTCCCGCCCAGTCTGGTGGTGCTGGTGGGTGTCTGGATGGCACAGCCCTGCTGCAGAGCAGCCCGTGAGCGTGGGTAGAGGGGACTCCAAGCATGGACACGCACCCCAGCAGCCAGCTGTGCACACGGCTGTGCAGCGGTGCTATTTGTAAACCAACGCTGGGCACTGAGCAAATGCCATGCAGCTGGCTGTGCAGGCTCCTTGGAGCACACCGGAGGGGATAGGCGGCCCTCAGGGTCCCCTGGGTGGGTTCCAGGACCCTGGGTGCCAACGTTTCGGGAACAGTAAGAGTAAGTCTACAAATATTCAGTACAGGCACAAGGTTTGAAAATATTCTGGATCCATGGTTGGTCCAGTCTATGGCTGCAGATTCCTCAGCTACAGGGGGCAGGTGGAGCCGTGCAGCTGACCTGTGCTGAGCAGAGAGACCCCATGACTCAGGAGAGCACAGAGGGCCAAGGGGCCCAGGGGCAACAGTGTCTGTGTGAGTCGGGGACAGGGGAGTGGGAGTCGCCAAATACCAGAGGGGACAAAAGTGGATAGAGAGAGAAGGAAAAGCCTTGATGCTGTTTGCAAGGCCCTGAACGCAGCCCTGCCTCGAGCTCCCCTCAGAATGCTGTGACAAAGACCCAGGCTCCAGCTCTCGGACAGCCGAGCTCAGTCGAGGGACAGGCTACTTGCCCGGAACCGGACTGTGCCGGAGGAGCTGCAGAGACTCAGGGTTCCCCGGGAGCTGCGGCACTGGTGGCTGCATCTGCGAGCAGTCACACATGGCCCAGGAAGGGCACGGGCTAAGGCTGGCACACTCCCTTACCTGGGTCCTGCCTGGGTGCCATCTGTAGGTTGAGGGGGTCATAGGCTGACACCTGCAGATCCTGCAGCAGGGCTTCCAGACCGTTCCTCAGGATGGCGTAGGGCGGCTTCTCCTCGTACTTGAGGGCCATCACCACCATCAGGTACTGCTGCAGGGCCTCTGTGGCCAAGACACCCCCATAGGCATGGGAGGATGAGAGGAACCCCCCGTCCAGGGTCTGGGGGCTGTGCTGGGACAGCCCAGGGTGGCCTAAAACTCGTGGTATTTCTCCTGCCTCAGTCTTCCCAGGGCTGGGACTGCAGGCATGCACCACTACACCCAGCGTTAATGTTTTTTTTTTTGTACCAGGGATCGAACTCAGAACCTTGTGCTTTCGAGGCAGGCTGCGGAATCACTGAGCTAAATACCTGGCCCACGTTACTGTTTTTAAATGCTGTTCTTGACCCACTGAATTAACTTTATGACTAATAAGCCACGATCACAGTTTTTAAAATACTGAGCTGGGGAACTAGCTCACTGGGAGAGCATGTGCAAGACCCTGGATTCAATCCCCAGCACCAAGAAAATAAAAAGACTGTTTTGTGTATTTTATTACAAATTTTAAAATACTGACAAAATTCTACACATACCAACATAAGACATCTCCAAGATACTCTTCTCAGGGGAGAAAAGCAAAACAGAAAAAGGGCAGGCATGGTAGGTCACGCCTGGAACCCCGGCTCCTTGTGGGGCTGAGGCAGGAGGATCTTGAGTTTGAGGAGGCCAGATTGAGCAATTTAGATGTTGTCTCAAAGGAAGAAAGGGGAAAAAAAGTTGCAGACTAGTATCCATAAATTTGATTCCATGTGTACTTTTTGTGTTTTGCTATTGTTCAGAGGGCTATGGAGTGTTTTGAAGAATTTTCTCTCTCTTACAGTGGGCACACAGTACACGGTAATCTGCCTGGACCCGCTCAGGGCTCGCCTGTCCCCTCCCCCTTCAGGACATACCTGAGGATCTGCTGCGGTGACCACACAGTCCGAGTGGCTCTGGGTTGTCAAGATACCTGAAGGGACAGAAGCATATGCCATTTAGGGAAAAAAGAGCTATGTTTTCTCTTTTTGGGGAGTACTGAAGAGTGAACACAGGGCCTTTGCACTGAGCTGTGTCCCAGTCCTTTATATTTTTTCTTTGAAACAAGTGTTCGCTAAGTTGCTAAGTTGTCCAGCTTGGGCTCAAACTTGTGGCCCTCCTGCTCAGCCTCTTAGAATGCTGGGATCACGGGCGTGAGCCACCACGCCTCGCTAGAACAAGCTGTGAATATGGACTTTCCAGGCGGTACAAGTCAATTCTTCCTGACGGCCAGCTGTGTTCTGTAGATTTGCTGTGAAGGCTGGGGACGCAGCTCAGTGGCAAAGAACTCACCTACCATGTGCAAGGCCATCATGGGTCTGCTCCCCAGCACATCAATCGGCCAATCAGTGGCAAAGAAAAGATCTGCTGTGGCCACTGAGTCGGCCAATCTGGAGCTGCTGTTCCTGGGGGAAGCGCCACGGGGCTCCCACCAGTCTCTGACCACAACACTGTCATCAGCCAAGCAGGACACAGTCTGGGGCTTTTTATGGCTCTGGGGGGCAAACCAAGGCCTCATGCATGCTGAGCCCGCCTCTACCACTGAGCTGCATCCCAGCCCCATTACCTTGCTTTATGTGTGCTTCTGTCGGGATTCACCTTAGTAATAAACACTGTCGATTCGGGAACACCCATTTGCACTCTTCGAGGGGCACCCACAGCAGAAAGCCTGTGGGACTTGAACTCTGTGTCGTGCTTATTTCATTCATCCCATCATGTCTAAAAAACACACAAACACCTGTGGGCTGAGTGGACAAAGCCTCCACACCAGTCACATGTCCTGGAGGACACTTCAGGGGCCAGAAAGTGTGCAGGGCTGCAGCAAAGCTCCCTTGTGGTCCTCTTGTTACTGCATTGACGGGAGGACTGAAAGAACAGAGTTCAAAGGGGTGCTGCCCCTGCCTGGCGCTCTCTACAGGCGGGCCAGGCACCCCCTGGTGGCACCTTTCAGCAGCCAGGAAGATGGCTCAGTTTTCCATTCACCCACAGCTACTTATTCATTTTTTATATATGATGGAATGAATGAGTAATACAAACCGGAGGTAGCACCTTCCGGCGGCCTGTGCCAGGGGCACATGCCTCCCTCTGCTCCTGGTGTCCCGGCTGCCTCCACCCTCACACCAGAGCCTGCTTTGTCCTCTTCCTGCTGCGTTTCCTCCCAGCCTAGGAAGCCCTGGTCAGGGCCACCCATGTGTGCTCTCCTGCTGGGAGGCAGCGGCAACACAGCTGGGACTCCAAGAAGGATGCATAATGCTGAAGGGGTCCCAGGCTCCCCGCCACCCTCCAGAGAGGCAGTCATGTACCTTGATTGAGCTGCAGTGTCCTGGGGTGCCCTGTGGCAGTGCGTATCCCTAAGCAACCCAGTAAGTGCTGTAGCCCTGCTTTACCAACGCAGTCCCACATGATGCTTTAACCTTCACACATGCTCACCGCAGCTGTGCTAACTCTGGGACTCGTGGTTTTTTCCATCTGGTTTCCTTTCAAGAGGGTCTTTGCTCACTTCTGTGAGCAGAAAACCAGCACCACCTATTATCACTAAAAAATAACTGTAAAAATAATTTCAGAGAACTCAGCACAATGCCTCGGATTCTAGCTGGTCCTGACTGGCTTCTGATGAAGGCTGCCTGAGGAGCTGGGCGCTGAAGGCCCAGCTCTGCCCGCCTCTCCCCTTTCTGCAGCAGCTCAGTGCCACACTGAGATGTCCTCGTGCCCCCTCTGCCCTCGAGAGCTGACTCCCGCCGCTACTGTGAGATCCACTCTAGACACAGTCGCACTCCGATGGTCACCCTGCCTGTCTCCCACTGGGTTGTGAGCTCCCCAAAGGCACGGATTTGTGTCCCTTATTCCTGTGTCCCCAGGGCCTAGGACAGGGCCTCACACACAAAAGGAATTTTGTGGGATTTGCTGGGTGAAGGCAGGGTGAATCCAGACACCACCAATGCACTCCAGTCAGCTGCCCACTCGTGAGAAGTGGCATGAGGTGAAGGGGCTGTCCCTGAGGTCCGCAGCTGGGCTGGGGTCCACCAGAGCACTTGGCTCCGAGCGGCTCTGAGGGCGGCACAGGGAAGGGCTGGGGGTGGCACCCGGCACAGACAAGCACGTGGTGGACACAGTCCCTGAGCAGGCCAGGGCCATGAGCAGGCCAGTGTGACGTGACACAGCCCTTCCTGTGAGCACCGACAAGCAGGGGGCTGACGTGGCAGTGGGGGCGGGGATCGGCTCGCCGCAAGCGTGAAATCCAGGATGGCACTTTTTATGCTAACTGAGCACACACCCAACCATGACACGCAGTTCTCAGGGACAGGTACATCTAAGTGAAGAAGACTGGAGGAGTATTCTGAAGTAGTAAACTGGCAATGCAGCTAAAGTTTAAAATCACAACACTGAGTGAAAAAAATCGATGAGACTTAGAGCATACAGTAGTTTGCCCTCAACTGTGGTTTTGTTTTCTGTGATCAGTAAGAAAAACGGTGAGAACAGAATAAAAGGAGAGACAGACAGACAGACAGAGATAGAGGGAGAAAGATTAACTCATGTTTTACTTCAGTATATTGTTGTAATTCTTGTATTTTACTACTAGACATTGTTAATCTCATCCTGTGCCTAACGTATAAACTGAACTTTATCACAGGCATCTATGTACAGGAAGGAACACAACACAATATAGGCCGAGTTTGGTACTACCCACCATTTCGGACATCCACTTGGATGTTGCTAAAGGGGTCTACTGTATTATCATTTGTGCAAGTTAAACACACACAGGACGACCACATACTGTTCAAGGTCATGTTTATACAAAACTGATTTAGAAACAGCAGTCAGAAACAGTGAAGTCAGTAATGTACAATGATGCAGCTGAAGTTGAAAATCACAGCATTGAGTGAAAAGAGCCAGAAACAGATGCGATTCATAGCAGAGCATCATTTATGCAAAAGACACACAGCAGGGCTACTACACAATTTTAAGGATACGAATGCACTAAACATGGGACCGGGGATTTAGCTTAGTGGTTCTGCTGCCTGCCTTGCAAGTGCAAGGTCCCGAGTTTGATCCCCGGTACCAAAAAAAAAAAAAAAAAAGACTACCCCACAAATAAACAAACAGATTAGTAGAATAAATGGTAAATGTCTTTCAGTGGCAATCCACTGTGAATGAAAAGGAGCTGGGACATATAAAGGAGATAAAATGAAGTAAGAGTTAGGTTCACCAGGGACAAGGGACACAGCATGCTGAGAACTGGGAAGTACGAGTCTTGATGTCACGCACGGGCAGTTCACCCTCTTCCTGCTGTGTGCACCTTCCAGGTGGCCTCCTCTTCTCCTAGGGCTCCAGCTGACAAAGGCTGAGACAGCCCCAGTGTCTGAGTCCATGTGGACTTTGCTCCTTTAGATGTAGACAGCCAATGACCTCCTTATAAAACCTGTCTAGATGACCCTGGGCAACGGTTATCCTTAAGACTGCCCCAGATCCTGACTCTAACCACTGGGGACCCTTGGGGTTTCCCTGTGGACAAATGTCATTGTCTTGTTGCGGAACCAACACCACAGTACAGCCCTTCCCACTGTGTCCAGAAGCTCCTTGTCTTGGGTGCTGAATCCCAAGCCCCAGGACCCAAGCCAACCTTCCTGCTGTCCTTGCTACTGATGCCACAGCACTAGCAAGGCCCTCCCCAGGGGGGGCCACTGTTGCCATCAGTGCCCTGTGTGCTGTCCTTGGTGCTGAATGCTCAAAGTGCAACGGTTGAGACTGGAAGGTTTTAGAAGCAGAGGCAAAGGCACAGATACTGGTGGTGCAGCTACTGGGGTGCTTAGGAAAGGCCTGGACCTAAACTGCAGGAGGCCTGCATGTCCGTGGACGAATGAATCCTGGTGTCCTGCATGAAATGCACCTAAGGCCCTGTGCTATGCTGTGCCTGACTCCCCTGAAGCCTTTGGAACATGGGTGCTAACTGGACAGTATCCCAGAAGAACGCTGGGGATCACAGAAGTCAAGCTGATCACCCAACAGCCCATAGTGGTGGGGCCAGAATCCACCCCAGGTGGCACAGCTCCAGAGCCCATGCCTCCTCACTTGCAGGAATGGAGGGAGGAGCACACGCCTGAGGTCCCAGAGAACTTTGGCTCTGGAGGATGCTAGCTCTCCTTCCTTCCGGCTCACTGCTGGAATCTAAGTTCCTCCCCTACCTGAAGGATTCAGACAGTGTTGGCTTCTGCTGACCCCTAGACTCACTTCTGCTTCTGCTTCATGATCTCCTCAGTGTTGGGAAGGAAGTTTGTCCACGGCAGGGACCCATAAAGCCACTTCAGCATACAGTAGCCAAGGGTCTGGAGGTCACTCCGGCGAGAGGGCCCTGGGAGGGAGACGAAGAGGCAGCAGCTCAGTGTGGATGCTCCACTCTCTGACCTGTCCACGTCCATGTCCACCCCTCTTCTCTCCCTCTCTCTGTCTCTCTCCCTGCTTTCTCTCAACTGTGTGTGCTTGCACTATTCAGCCATGTAAAGTATCTCACTCATTCATCCATTCACTCCTTAGTCTTTAGTCTCTAATCTCACCCTCATTCTCTCCATGACTCACTCACTCGAGCATCTGTACCCTCTCTCATTGGCCCACTCCCCATCTACTCATCTTTCATTGCAGCAGTCAGTCGGTGAGTCCTCAGTACCCATGTGCGGACCCCACCTCACATGCTGAAAACCCACACAGCAATTGGCCTGGGTCTCAGCCCTGAACAGTTCAGTGGGAGCTAATAATAGTGCAGTTATCAAGCATAAAGGAAGCAGAATGAACACAAAGGCGCCCAGAAAGATAGGTACTAAACCCAGGCTCCGAGGGTCCCTTCTGCCTCCCAAATCACATAATTTAGACAACTCCATGGACGCAGTCAGCAAACGTTGACTGTGCCAACCTGCCAACTGATGCTGCAGGCACAGGTGCCTCTCTGCCCTGGTAGGAGGATAAAGGCAGATACATGGATAGCCATGATTTTAGGGATCTGAGAAAGAGGGGTCAAGGAAGCTGGCCCGGGCTCTCCACTCTGCACTCCTCCCCTGGATCATCTCACCCTCTCCTAGGGACTCGGGTGACAACTCCTTCCCGGACACCACTCCTACGCTCCAGATATGGAAGGACAGCTGCCGCCTCACCTGGATGATGCTAAGGCAATTCTCATCTTCAGTCTACACCAGGTCCCATCCCAGCCCCTAGAAAGCAGGGTTCCCGGGGCCAGCCGCTCGCTGTCCTTGGTGCTGAACCCCACACCTTCTAACCGCCAGTATCCAATGTCCTTGTGTTCTTGGTGCTAAACTAAGTTCTCAGCGCTGAACTGTGTTCTCGGAGCCCATTTCCTTATATATCCAGGATGCTGGCCATATTTCTGATTCCTCACCGTGACACCCTTACGACTGTGTCTGGCCACCAGCTGCCTGTACCTGTGAACCCCTAGAGCTGGCCATGAATGAGACGTGTGTCTCATGAGCCCAAGCCACTCCTCTGTCTTCTTACCACATCCTTTATGTAGATCCATGCTAATGAACTCGAGGTCCCCCTCGTGGGGGCTCCTGCTGCCTTCTGTGTAGGCCACATGTCTGCCACTTGGGCAATAGCGGAAGGAGAAGCTGTAGCCTGCCAGGGTCACCTATGGACATGGGGAGAGGACACACAGATTGATGGTTAGGGGCACAGACTCTACTGTCAGAGATTCCAAAAGTGGGTAAATATGACATAACAGAATCTACTGTAGATGTTTTAATTTCTAAAACTGAGTCATGCTCATGGTAAAAATGCCAAATACTACAGAATGGTATAAAGTGAAAAGAACCCCAACCAATATCCAGATTTTCCCTAGTCTCAGAAACGTACTGCCCAGAAGTAACCATTAGTAACAGATTCTCATGCATTGTTCTGAATGGTTTTTTAAAATAACCAGGTAAAACTTCATGGACATGAGGGGCTGCCTGCTGGGCACCCAGCTTTCTGCACTTCCGCAGCAGCTCAGGACACAGTTTGGAGCCAAATGGCCTGGGTTCAAATACCAGCTCAGCCCTTTGGTGCAGCCTTGGGCAAGCTATGAAACTTCTCTCTGCTTTCATTTCTCCATTTGCGAAATGCTGATGAAAACAGATTCTTCCTCAAAAGGTTGTTAGAAAGCTTAACTGACTTCAAAACGAAAGTGTTTATTTGCCAGCTGCACAGAGTCAACCACATCTTTTCTGTGGCTGCACCTTGTTCTATCATGCAGATCATGGACACTGCTGGGTTGTCCATGCTGGACTCACACCCACTTCTGCTCAGTTTGTGATAATCAATTTTATGTGCTAATCTTTCTTTTGTACTGGGAATTGAACCCAGAGTCTCACACATGCTAGCCAAGTGCTCTGCCACAGAAGTCACATCCCCACCCCTTGTGGCAGACCACCATAACCAAAGTCAGAGTAGGCTGTAATACGGGGCGGGCATCCCCCCCACAATTGGCTATAATGTCCTCGGAGCTGGACTGAAGCCTGCAGGACTCACAAGAGCACGTCGGATGGCAACGCAAGCTAGTACAGCCTCCGTGCCAATGGCTGAGGGTGAGATCTAAGCCTCGATCTGTGAAGCTGCAGGGATCCTAGTGAGATGACACAGCAGCCGAGGACTGGGTAGCTCCAATCCACATTCCTTCCTCAGAGCTGCCCTCCCTTCACTGTTTTCAGTAACCTACTAGTTAACTATAACGGACCTTTGTCAGTTCCACAAGGGCCTAATCCTCCTTTCTACAAGCCTGGCCCATGTCAGCTGACATCACCAGATGCCACAAGAGTCCCTTTACCCTATTCTTACCCACACTTGTATAATCAGTAAATACCTACGGACCTGGTTGCTTGTGGTCCTTGCCACATGCCCGGCCTCATTGCCACATGTTCAGCATGGCCTATCCCAGTTCTCCGCTATCTGTTTAAGTCTTATTTCTGTGTCTTTCTTTCACCTTGTATCACCTTGCCTTGCAGGAGATTAGGGTTCAAGGCTGGGGACCTGATAACCCCTTTTAAAATTTTTATTGTGAGACAGAGTCTCACTAAGTCACTCAGTTACCCAGGCTGGCCTTGAATTTGCGATCCTCCTGTCTCAACCTGAGTAGCTGGAATTCAGACATGTACCATCACATCTAGCTTATGTGGTAACTTGACCAAGCCATGAGGCACCTGAACATATGACCAAACACTTTTCTGGTGTCTGAGTATGCTTCTGGATGAGATTAACATCTGAATCCTTCGACTGGATGAAGCAGACTGCACTCCTAGTGGGGTTGGGCCTCATCCAATCCACTGAAGACGAAAGAGAAACAAAGCTGAGTGAGGTAGCTTTGCTGTGTTCTGCCTACCATGAACCATTTCTCCTCTGTCATGCCACCCTGCCTTGGAGCCAGCTGATTATGGGCTGAAACCTCTACAAACTGTAAGCTAAATAAACCTTTCCTCCTCTAACTTTGGGTGTTGGGTATTTTGTCTCAGCAACAAGAAAAGTAACTAAGATGGAATTTGGTACTAGAGAAGTGGGGTCATTGCTGTGACTAAACCTGACCATGTGGTTCAGAAACCTTTGGGTCTGGCTTGTGGGAAGAGTTTGGAAAGGTTCAGAGATTCTGGCTGAAAAAGTAGAGCTGGAACACCCTAGGCTGTACTTGATGGGAGATTCTGGTCAGAGCTCAGAAGACCAGAATGCTGATAAAAATTCTGCCAGTATGGGCCAGGGATTTAGCTCAGTGGTTCCGGTGCCTGGCTCACAAGTTTAAGGTCCCAAGTTCAATCCCTGGTACCAGGAAAAAAAAAAATTCTCCCAATAAAGACCAGGCTCGGGAGGTTTCTGCTGGGAAGAAGGACTGCATTGGCTGCTGGACTCCAGACAGTGGTTATGCCTGGCAGAAAGTTTGTCTGCATTTTGGTTGTATCTAAAGGCTTTGCCTGAGATTATGATTAAGGGCAGCAGACTAATGAATCTGGCAGAAGAAATTTCAAGGCAGTGTAAGGCTGAGGCAATGGTGTGGCTACTGTTGGGGCTTTTGGCCAGATTTATGTTGAGAATCAAGGGCAAAGAGCCCAGGAGAATGAGTTAAAATGTTTTGAGTTTGGCCAGAAAGAAAGTTCCAGTAAAGTTGCAGTCCACTAAGATGGAACAGAGGAGAAACTGGTCACTGAAAAGACCAGCAAGAGAAAGCCAAGTATTTCAGACGACAACAGAAAAAGATGGCCTGAGGACATCACAAGAACCAACAGGACTCCAGCCTCAGAGTTGCAAAAGTGAAAAACTGTTTTCAGAAGAGAGACCCAGGGCACCGTGTTCCAGAATGGTAGCAGCCTAGGGAAGTTGTTCCTCGGGATTTGGTTCACAGGTGCTGGACCCCTACAGCCAATGGAGAAGGAAGCCTGGCTACTACGTCAGTTGGTGGCAGATCTTGGCATCATCCACACGGTGCCACTTTTAGGTGCATGCAGAATGCAAGAGTTGTGGGTCAGGAAGGCTTCCACCCAGATTTCAGAAGAAAGCTTGGGAGGCCAGGGAGTGTGCCCTGGGAGGACAGTGTGTGAGCTGTGAGTGTGAAGCCGAAGGTGCAGTGGAGACCCCAGAAGGTTGGAGAAGCCAGGAGCGTGGGACATCTGAGCAAAACTCCAAGGAGGCAGTAGAGCCAGCCCCAGAGAGAACCAATGGGAGCTACAACCACTGGCAGTGCTGTATGGCGGGAGCCACCCAAGCCCTTTGGAGTCCACAATTTGCCAGATTGCTGGGGGTGCTGTAAGTGGAACTGTGGGATTTAATGTTTGCCCTGCTGGATTTTGGTCTTGCTTTGCTCCCATTTCTTGCTATCCCCGTTTGTAACCTTTGGAATGGAAATGTCTCTCTTGTGCCATTGAATGTTGGAAGTGTTTAACTTTCTTTTCATTTGTGCAGGGGCCTGCAGCTGAGAGACTGCCTTAAATCTCAGAGGAGACTTGGGACTTGGACTTTTCAGCAATGCTGAAACTGTTAGGACTCTGGCAACTCTTGGAGATGGACCAATGCCTTTTGCACAAAGGGATATGCATGAGTGTTTGGGGAGGGTCAGAAGTAGAATGTCATGGTTTGTGTTTAGCTGTCCCCCCAAACCTCATGTGGTCATAGGTGGGGCTTTTTCAGAGCTGGCTGGATCTAGCGTGTGTGACACTAGAACTGATTCATGGTGCAATGCAAGGATCAAGGGCACTAGGATTAAAGATGTGAGCGTAGAAAGACCTGTGGTCATTCTTTGTTGCTTTGCTACCTTCTGCCCACCATGAACTGTTTCTCCTCTGTGATGTCCTTCTGCCATGTCACCCTGCTTTGGAGTCAGTCAATTATGGACTGAAACCTCTACAAACTGTGAGCAAAATAAACCTTTCCTCCTTTAAAAAATCCCGACTAATGCACAGTTTAGGGATTTTCCTCCAGGACTGCCTTTCCCCCACTCACACTCCATGTAATTCAGATGGGGCCCACCTGGCCTGCTCATCCTGGGCTTGTTGAGCTTTGGCAATTTTAACCTGTAATGGATGTCTATGCCTGACAATGGGTGATGCAGAAGCAAGGAGAACCCAGAGACACAAGAGCCAGCTTCCCAACAAAGGGCTTCAGGCCCTGGAACCAGCCATGCCTGGAGACATGTCCTGGCTTTTCCATTCCATGCACCAATACATTGCACACATATAGTCCCATTAGTATTATTATTGCTTAAGCATATTAAGTTGTTTTGTCAGTTACAGCTGAGAAAGCAAGTCAAATTTATTTCAAAATATGTATTAATTAGCATTCTACTGGGACTACACACACACATCAAGGTATTTCCCCTTTATTATTAGAACCAACAACTAACGCTGTCAGAAACATCTTGTGTACATATCTTTTTTTTTCCCTTGGTACCTAGAATTGAACTCAGGGTCTTGTGCTTGCCAGGCAGGCATTGTACCACTGAGCTACATTTCTGATGTGTATACAATTGTGATTGCTATCTCTAAGATAACTTCCCAAAAGGTATCCTAATTCATAGTTCCAACAGTGTGTGAAGAATTCCTCTCTCCTTACATCCCTACTAGCATTATACATTATCATTCCTAATTCTATCCATCCAAAGGGTGAAAAATAGTACCTTGCTTTGATCTGCAGTTCTAGGGAAGTTGAGCGTCTTGTCATATAACTGATCTGTGGATTTCTTTCTCTATGAATTGGTTTTTCTACCCTTTATCTAAGTTTCTAGTAATTTATCTCTCCTTATTTATTCAGAGGAGCTCTTTGGATATGGTGGACAGCAACCTTTTGTTGGCAGTGAGCACTGTGGAAGGAATGGAGATGTGGGGACAGACAGGAAGCCTCCGAGATCTCCCAGAGTAGGTGGGGGACAGGCTCTTACCTGGCTCAGATCTTCTGGATTCACAAAGACATTCTCTGCTGTCAGATTCCCATGAACATACTCATTTTCATGGAGGAATTCCAGGGCATCCAGCTGGGGAAAGAAGCAAGCATCTCTGAGTGGCATTTTCTGTCAAATAAAAGCATTACCATTTGTTCTTATTCACCTTATCCACTGGATCTAGCACCATGAAACTTCTGGGTATGCCCCAAAGTCAAAATGACCACGAAAGGTAAATGTTTTCATTCGACTTAGGGCACTGGTGCAGCCAGGACAGTGCAACCAGAGACTCTCGTGAAAGAAGACTTTCAGAACTGCTTCAGAAAGTGGCAAGAACAATGGGGCAAGTGTGTTTGAAGTAAGTGGGAATATCTTGAGATGGATTAATGGCAATGTCTTTCACTACAGTAAGTTTTTTTTTAGAAAAACTAAATATTCACCATTCATTTTTAAAATCTCACCAAGTAATATTTGGCTTTCCATCCTCTTTCTTCTCACTGATTAAAAATTCAGGAAGATAAGGAGCTGCCTAAACCCCGTGCCTAAGTAAGCCAGCACTCATGTACACCCGAGTTCTCCCCAACCCTCCTAAAGAGAACTTAGCTAAGCAATCTGCATTTTCCAGCTTCTCCACTCAGCTCCAGGCTCAGACAGGGAGCTGCCTGGTGCTAACTACATCTCCAACCCCTCTCTGACCTCAGGGCCTAACTGTCTCTCGAGCTCTGCTCGCTCTCCTCTGATGACCTCTCCACCCTCCTGGCCCTTCCCATGTGGACCCCAGGCAGCCCATCCTCATCGGGCCTCCCCTCCCCACACCCTCAGCTCACAGTCCCAGCCCCTCCCTCATCCTGGTACAGATACTGAGCCGAGAGGCCTGCAGGCTCCCCTAGTGGGTCACACCCTTGCCGCTTCCATCTCTGGTTATGGGACCTGGCTGTTCTCATTCTCCACCACAGCAGGGGCCCTGTCTACTCAGGGCACTTGTCACAATCTTTGCTTCTGGTTTCTGCCTTGTTTTCTTCTAGTACTGGGGATTGAATCCAGGGCCTTCACATTGGGCTACATTCTCAGTGATTTTTACTTTTTTTTTTGTTTTTGGTACCGGGGATTGAACTCAGGTCCTTGCGCTTGTACAGCAGGTGGTGAAACCACTGAGCTAAAACCCCGGCCCAATTTTTACTTTTCATTTTTAAACTTTAAGACAGGGTTTCATGAAGTCATTAAGTTGCCCAGGCTGGGCTTCAACTTGTAATCCTCCTGCATGGGCCTCCTGAAGAGAGTGCTGGGACGAGAGGCATGCAGCACCTGGTATGGCTATGCAACTGTTTAACAGCATCCTCTCTCACCTGACTGTGAGTGCCTACATGTGACGCTCTGGCGGGAAGTGGTTGCACACTCCTGTAATCCCAGCACTCAGGAGCCTGAGGCAGGAAGATCACTGTGAGTTTCAGGCCGGCCTGGGCCACACAGCGACACCTTGTCTCAAACCCCACCCCCAAAACCCATGAAGTCTGTGTCTGTGGTGCTCCCTACTCTCCCCGCAGACCTCCAACCCTAACCTGACCAATAATGAGAGGTGAATGAACAAATGATTGAACAAATCCCTTTATGCTAGGAAACAAGCCTTGCCCAAGCTGTATCCTGGCTTGGAACGTTCTCTCCTCGAACACCCCTAATGCCACTCGCCCCAGCACCTCGCTATTTCCATTCAGCCTGAGTTCTGGCTTGGAAACCAACTCTCCCAGAAAGCGCCATGCACCTCTCAAGTTTCGGCCGGGCCCCTGATGGTGGTGCTGCTCACACTGGTACTAGCTCTGGTGCGCTGGGGGCTGGATGTATCAAGGAGCCAATAGCCTGAGGAAGTAGGACCCTACAGGCCAGCTCTGACACGGCCAGCAGCTGTGGCACGTACCAGCCGGCAGGCCACCTGGAACACACACTTCTCCGGTATCACATGCTTCGGGCTCACATCCAGGGCTGACTGCAGGCTCCGACCCAGGCTGGGGAACACCAAGAACCTGGAAGACATGGGCGACCCTGGAGGTCCAGACTCGTGGGAAGGGGACGAATGCAGCACCGGGGGAGGACTGTGGTGGGAGAGCCCCAAGGTCCTAACAGCAGGGGACAGTAAAGGCTTTGCTCAGCTGGGCACAGCCTCGCTCGAAACAAGGGGAAAGGAAGAGGCAGCTGACTGGCCAGGGGCTCTGGGGCCGCAGCTATACCTGGGCACAGGACAGGGAGAGAAAGAAAGGGCACAAGAGCAGGTAGCAGTGAGACGGCTCACCTGTACTTGTCCTGGTGAACACCAAAACCGATACAGGTGGGGATGGCCAGGAGCGGGGTTGAGTACAGCTTCTTCCATTTATTCACTGCAGGAGACAGGGGCCCAACTTAGAGCCCACCAGGTGCCAGGCCCACGGGACAGCAGCCTGTTCTCAGGCCAGGAGGGAACCACGCCAGAGCCCAGAAAAGACCCTGCATCTCCTTGTTGGAGATCACACCTTTTCAGGAGGGTGAGAAGAGGGTGGGCATGGGTGACCCACAGGTGCCTGTAATCCATGCCTGCAGGTGACAGACGTGAATACGAGTGACTTCTGGGAAACACACACACACATCTGCAGTGAACAGAGGGGACAAGGACAGCAGAGGAATCTCTGCGTCCACACGAGCAGCTACTGAGATCAATGTGGGTGGAAACCGGCCCTGCGGCACTGGAGTCCGCCTCTGCCTGTCTGCTGGGTCCCTGTGGGCTGGCTTGGAACCAGTGGTGTGTCGATCCAGCATAACAGCTGGCCGCCCAGGGCGAGCCGGCCCAGCCTGGCATTTCCACCAGTTCCTGTGGTGTATTTCCTGGCACAGCCACTTTCAAGGTGGTGATGTGATGCGACTGAGTGTGGGCTGGGAGAGGCATGGTGCTGCTGCCCCTGTGCCGCACCTTCACCATCCAGATACCAGGGATGCAAATCACCACAAGGATTAGAGATAATGGCACATGCAGAAAAGAATTAGGAAATGATGAGTTTTTGAGAGTCTGTCTTTGTGTTGAATATAACTAAGTTACATAACTGAATTTTTAATAACTTGGCTGCATACAACAATCAGCTGGGAACATTTGTGAACCTGTATTACTTGGCTCATAAGAGCTGGTCTGAGCCAGCTCCACCCTGTCCTTTGAGGCCCCAGGGTGACAGGAGCTCTGGGCACAGATGGGAGGCACACCTGGGCCTGAATCTCTACCCTTCCCATGCCAGCAAGGAGAAGCAAGTTGCTGTGTTTGAGCTGGTACCCCAACTCTCTCCTCTGCCCACTTTCCTGGGGGATACCTTGTAGAGGCTTGGCAGCCCGCTGGAAGAAGTTCTGCTCATTGAACAGGCGACCATCTTTGGCATCCTGGAGGGGATAGAAGTGCAGAGGCTGTCACACTGAACTCCCTTACCCAGGAGCCCAATACCTCCATTGCATCAGGGTTTTTCAAATCCCTGCATTAGGACCAAATTCCTCAGGATGTTGCAGGTGAGCACATATCAGAGACTGGGAGCCATCTCCTAGTTCCTCTGCATTTTTATGACAGGGTCCACAACTTTTCCTAAACAGGTATCCTTCGCATAAAACTACATTTCCCAGCCTCCTTTGCAGTGAGGCATGATCACGTGACTAAGTTCTGGCCAATGAGGATATGAGCAAAAGAAATGTGGGCAACTTCCAGGTTATGCACTTAACAGGCTAAAACAGGCTCTCCTTTCTCTTTCTCCATCCTGTGTCAGAATCAGCTCAGCACCACCTACTTCTGGGCCTCAGGAAAGGCTGACTGGAGAGAGAAAAACAGAGAGAGAAAGAGAGCGAGAGCGAGAGCGAGCGAGAGAGAGAGAGAGAGAGAGAGAGAGAGGATCCGCTTCAGCAGTGGTAGGAGGGCCACACGAGGTAGATGTTAGGAAGCCTTCACTGATGAGGAAACTCAGAGCCAAGAGGGGGCACTCCTGCTCGGTATACATGGTTGGGAGATGCCAGAGCCTGAGCAGGGGTACATGTGGCCACAGGTTTCCCACAGCCACACATGAGGAGCAGCAGCCCACCCTTCCCAGGGTCCCACTGCTCCCAGTAGCCAGGGGCTCCCCCAAGATCTCCCAGCTCACAGAGGGGCTTGGAGGTCCATAGGGCATTTGCAAAGCCCCAGGTTCCCTGCTCAGGGGCCACTCACCAGTTTGATGGAGAATTGGTGTTTTTGAGACCTTGACTGGCAGGGGAGGACAGAGGCGGACTCGGCTATGGAAGAACAGAGACAAGTGAGCAAGGTCATAAGCTAATAGGGTCATGGGCATGGTTCAAAACTTCCTAGCAATGAGAAGCGGTTCTGGTTCCCAAGGGCGAGTGCATTCTTGGTGTGCAGAACCTGCTTCTTCCTATTTTGGAAAAGGTCCTTTTCTTCTTCCTCCTCCTTTGTGACCATCCAGGTGGGCAGGAAAGGATTAATGCTGCAGGCCTCAGACTGCCCTCCTTCCAAGGTCGGAATCCAGGGTTTTAGAACCTGGATTTCAGGAGGAAGGATCCCCAGGCTTCCCTCGTGATGCAAGGTGCTCGTTGGGCCCACAATAACACCTACTGTGCTTCTGGGACCCAGGGATTGAGCTACGTGGTAGGCAGAGGTGGCCACAGGATCCATCCCCATCACAATCTGGGACCCTGAATCTCTGAAGGCCTCCCTTCATGGTAATCCCCATGTGTTACCGCAACCTGTGGCTGGGGAGGTCAGCGCATATTCAAGGCCACATCCTAGGCGACCCACATCCCATGGCTGATCCAGAGGGACACAGGAGCGCAGCCCAAGGCCAATACAGAGCCATGCTGAAGGGCTGCTCTGCTCCAGAGCCCACTGACCTCAAATCCACACATGGATGAGTCCATGCTCGAGGGCCAAGCCTCACACCCCCCAACTGCCTCTTCCAGGTGACCCGGTCCCGCCTCTCATGATCTGTTCGACATGAGTTTGGTTTGGGACAATCAGACCTCAGTAGAGGTACTGGATTTATTTTGGCGGTGGTGGAAATGTTCTGGAATTAAGACAATGGTAGTGGCTGTATGTCACTGTAATGCACTAACAGCCACTGAATTGTATACTTTAAAATAGTGACATCCATGTTATATGAATATTATCTCAATTTAAAAACTGACAAAATGCTGGGGATTTAGCTCAGTGGTTTCATCGCCTGCTGCGCAAGCACAAGGACCCGAGTTCAATCCCCGGTACTCCCCCCAAAAAACCAAAAAGCTGCCAATACCTACATAAAGTAGTGACTGGCCCCGTGCGAGACTGAATCCACGTTAGCGACTGCTGATCCTGAGATTAGCCTGTGGCTGTTGTCTCCCTCACTGCGTTGGAGTGGGACTCCGCTGTCTGAGGTCTGACAGTCAGCTTCTAAACTGGCTTCTCCCCGATCTGGGCAAGTATGGCAGATTCACCCTCCTCCTTCTTTCCTTCTTTTCCTCACTCCTCCCTTCTTTTTCTTTCATAATTGGGGACTGAACCCAGGGGCTTCACACTGAGCTACATTCGAAGTGCCTTTTGTTTTTAGAGACAGTCTCTCTCTTAAATTGCTAAGTTGCCCTGGCTGAGCTGGAACTTTTGATTCTCCTGCCTTGGCCTCCCAGAGTGCTGGGATTACAGGTGTGTCACCATGTCCACCTGGCTGGTGGAAGATTCACACCCTGGGAGGGGAGGTGCTGGTCTGTGTGTGGAAACCCTCAGCCCCAAAACCATGAAACCCAAGCCTGGGCTCTTTCCCTTGCTCTTTTGAGCATTTTGGACCTGCTTGGGAAGCCCGACCTGCTCTTCACCGAGACCCCAATTAAGGAAGCCACAAATCTGTCCTAGCCTCTTGGTGCACTGGCCCTATCGTCATTCTCAACATCTGACCCAATTTTGGGTGGGGGTCCACACTGCCTCTGCAGGCCGGCCATGCAGTCCTCCTTGCAAGGCCTCTGGTTCCACACTCCCAGCAGCCACTGTGGGAGGGGTGAGTACTTTTCCATAAGATAGGTGCCTGCCCCTCCCAGCCACCTCTTCTGTGGCTGCACATGCACATGACCAACTGGTTTGCAGTCTGGGCCTGGGAAAGACTTGCCAGAGGCAGGTCTACAGCAAGCAGCATGGCCTCCCCCCATCCCCATCCTCAGGAATGTCCCCTCCCTGGCTGCCCTAGGCACAGCACCTGCGTAGAGAATGCCCTGGTCGTCCCTGGTCTGCAGCGCTCCCAGCCTCCAGCGCTGCCCATTTTTGTCCATCAGCTCTGTCCCCGAGGGCAAAGCCTCAAGAGAGATGGTTGCCCGACTCCGCTTCAGCGTCTGAGGGCTGCACTTGGTGGACTTTGGGCTGCTTTTGGGGGTTGGGGGTCTGCTCCTGGCCCCTGCAGGAGGAAGGTTACAGTCAATGAAAGGCAGCATCCGGGAGAGTAAAGTTGGACGGGGAGTGAAGAACACTCATGATGCCGTTTGCTGACTTGGTCACTCAGTCAGCAAGCGCTTCCTGGACTTCCTTGGGCCAGGTCCATTCGTATGATGACACTGGACACTTCCCTTGGGAGCTCCTGGCACGGTGGGGAATCTGACCTGGACATAACCCGCAGAGAGGGACATCAGGCCCAGAGGGGAAAGTAACTGCCTGAAGGTCAAGGGAGGCTTCCAGAGGAACGGATGTTAGAGTTGAGGCTTAGTGGGTGAGCAGAAGTTTGCTAGGGGAAAACGAGGGGGAATGGCCACTCAGACATTCACCTGAAAACATCCCACAACAGGACTTGGCCCTGGGCTGAGTATGAGGGGCCAAGATGTGTCAGATGGAGATGCCACCCTCGAGGGGGACTGGCAAGAGAGTGAGGTTGCACGGCAGAGGGCAGGAAATGGCCACCGCACCCACCTCACTCTGCCCACCACCGTTCCCCCGAGGCACACAGCTGAGAGGCCTCAGGCCCTGGGGATGACCAGGAGCGAGGAGACACCCAGGGCCCAGTTGGAGGGAGACGGGGAGACAGTCTTCAAGCCCGGGGTCCTGCCCTGGCTAGGGGGGGCAGGTGGGTCCCACTTAGTCCCTGTCCACAAAGGATGTGCAGGCCAGAAAGTGAGGTGAGAGGGCTGTGGAGCCTGCAGTGACACAAGTGTACAAGAGGGAACATCTGGGGCCTAGGAGTGCTGGGCAGAGGCAGGAGAGAGGCTCTGGGGACACCAGGAGCCTTGGCACAGGCCTGTGGCGCTCAGGAGAGGGTTCCTAGAGATGCAAGCCTCCGAGGGCTGGAAACTGGCACAGGGCAGGCACAGGAGGAGATGATGGGGCCGAAGGAACAGACTCAGCAATGCCCAGGGCTTGCCAGTCCTGAGTCTCATGCACATGGGGTATGAGCCGAGCAGATGGCAGCCGACAGCAAGATGGCGGGGGATGGGAATAAAGGGCTGCGCGGAGGGACAGCCAGGGCAGCGCTGTGTGCGAAGGCCCCTGGGGACCCTGTGGAGATGGCCTGGAGGCGACTGAGGCTGGGGAAGGTACTGTGAGGTGTCCAGGCAGGGGCGCATGATGTTCCCGCTGGGGCTCTGGCAGCTTTGCCCCAAACACTGCCAGAGGACCCATCCTTGCCCCATCTGGGGTCAGATCTACCCCAACTGTTACCTTTGGACCTCTCAGAAGAACTCACGGCATCTTCTGGCTCAGGACTGCCACCGTCAGAGAGAAAGGATGACTGGGAAGAGATGACAATGTTTGACCATCTCACTTTCTTGGGAGAGGTTTCAGACCTGGAGCTCTGCTCTCTCTTTGAACCTAAAGAAAGGGAGATGGAAGGCAGATGGGAGTTACGAGGCTCTTCTCAGCAAAGCTCACTTCTTTCACCACCAGCTAGCTAAACAAATGGTTCCTTTCTTTAGATCTCTTCTCCTCCATGGGCCTTAGTGTGCCCCCCTCCTTATGATACTGGAGATTGAACCCGGGCCTTCACACTGTGCTATATCCCCAGCTCTTTTTTATTTTTATTTTCAGATAAGATCTCACTAAGTTGCTAAGTTGCCTAGGCTGAGCTCAAACTTGTGACCCTCCTACCTCAGCTTTCCAAACTATTAACCTCTCTTTTATATCCTCCATCATTTTGTCCCTCTGTCCTCTTTCCAAAGTTTAAATTCTTCAAATCTATCTTCCAGTTCACTAATTCTCCTTGGAGCTGTGTCTAGCCAGGCATTTATCTCTACACATATATTTAAATAAGTTTTATTTGGTTTCTCTTCAAATCTGCCTTGTTAATACTAGCTCATTTCATTTAACTGCCAATTTACCCTGTTATTTCTTTAAACATATCAAATGTGCTTTGTAAATATTTGTATCTGTTAATGCTAAGATCTGTGGTCTTGGCGGTGTGATTCTATAGTTTGTTGTTTCTGCTGACTTGTTTTCTGATAACTCTGTGAACCAACAAGGACACAATCTTTTTTTTTCCCAACAAGGACACAATCTTATCTTTCCAGGATGACTGGCCCCTGGAGTCCTGGGACAGCCTCCCTACTCTGAGCCTTTTACACACACAGCCAGAGTAGCCTCTGAAAATGCAAATCATATTGTGCACCTACTTGGAAGAAACTCTTCCACAGCTCCCCCCCACCCCTGATGCCAGGTGTCTGCCTGGCCCCCAGTCTATACTGTGCTGCCCTCCACTCACGTGTGGCCCCGCCCACTGCAGTCTTTTCCCAGGTGGGAAGGGAAGAAGCAATGGATGGAACAGATAAAGTGACTACAGGAGAGCTAGGAGGAGAGGTTGAGCGGGATCTCACTCTATTTATCCTGTGAGGCTTCACACAGAAGGTGGTGAGTGACAGGATCTGGCTGGCTTAACAGGGTCTCTCTGGTTGTCACTCAAACCAGGATACAGGAGAAGCAGGGAGCCCAGGGAAAGAAGGCTTCTGCAATGCCAGGGGCGGGAGGTGAGGATGGGATAGGCAGATGGGTGTCAGGAGGTGCTCTGACTCTGCTGATGTGAAAGGCCAGCCGACAGGACGTGCCCTAAAGTGAATGTGTGGGGCGGGAGAGAAAGAGGAGTCTGGGGTGACCCCAGGGTTCTAGTCTGGAAGACAGGACAAATGGAGCTGCTGTGTACTCTGATGGTGAAGTCTATGAAAGGGGCCAAAGGCTGGGCTTGCCTGGGGTGAGGTACGCAGGACACCTAGCAGATGCCCAGCAGGCAGCACTCTAGGCTGGAGAGAGAGCCAGGGTATAAGCCGAGGGAGCAATAGCAGACCAAGGTCTCCATGTACACAGAGCTGTCCTGGCCTGAGCCCTAGCTTCGCTAGTGTCAGGCTGCAAACGCATCTGTTCCCACTGCGCAAACACACATGCACATGCAGACCTCAGCCCTCCGCAGGGATACACTCAAAGCCCCAGTTCCTACCTTGCAAGGACGATTCCCGTCGCCTGACACACGTCGGGGACTTTGCATGCTCCTCTGTAGGCAAAGGTTTTCCACAGTAGGGGCAGAATTTGAATGTGGCTTCAATACTTTTGCCACAGTCTGGACAGAAGGAGATCATGCTATAAAATGGAAAGAAAGTGGGTACAGGAAGCTGAAAGAAAAACTGAATCTAGCTGGTGAGTAGCCCTCTGAGTTCCCCACGGAGATGAGCTGAGAAAGGGACAGAAGTCAGCGCCGTCTGAATACACGCCTGAGCGGCCACTTCTGAAATGAGTCCCGGCCCACTGCGCTGAGCCTCCATCCACCTGTCCCTAACGGCCCAGGTACAAAGCAGAACAAAAGCCAAGTGAAGCAGCAGAACTCACAGAAGCTGCAGGACACTTGAGGTCAGGGACAGTTACGGCAGAAAACGGCTCACATCAGAGTAAGCATGGAGGTGGAGACTCTAGGGTCTGCAGTGGTGTCCCAGATGCTCATTTCTTAAACCACATGTTGGGGACTGGAGAGGCATTGGATGCTCTACACATATCCACATGGTCCTCCGTACTTTCCAGCCTTCTTTGTAGCCAGGCTAGGCCAAGGTGACTAGTTCTGGCCAGTGGATCTGGTTGGCTAGAAGTGATTTCATAGCTAGAATATCTCCTCCATCTGTCTTTTACCTGCAGGCATGGTCATGGAGGCCACAGTGCCAGGTAACACAGCAACACAATGAAAGGTCCACACTAGGGTCCCAGGATCAATAATCACAGGACACCTATGGTGTATGAAGCCACCAAGATTTCAGGGCTCATTTGTTACTGCAGCACAGTTTATCCTATCTGGACTAACTGGGGTGAGCAGTGTTCATTATAGTACTCACTGTGCTTCGTGTATTACTGAAATATTTCCTGGTACTTTTTGAAAATTTAAAACAAATTGCACACAGGGCCCACAACAAATGGGGATGTGGCAGGGTTGGGTCAGTTAGTAAGTGAAGAGGAGAAAATTAACAAGGATGAGAGTGCAGAGGGTACATCAAGTGAACATCTCTGAAGAGCAAAAAGAGAGAGGGAGAGAGAAAGAGAGGGATTTTATTCTTATATTTTGAGACTTAGTGTATGGTAGTTAAAAATTGGAATATTAAAAGAGAAGCCAAAATAAACATGTTCATGGTTCCATTACCTTGTGCTGTGGCTGGGGTAAATGTTCCCCAAAGGGCTTGGACCCCATGGTGGTGCTCCTGGGAGGTAGTGGACCTTTAGGAGGCGGGGCCTTGTGAAAAGTCCTTGGGTCATTGGGAGTGTGGCCTTTGAGGCACTGTAGGACCCTGGCCTCTTCTTTCTCTTTACTCTCTGCCTAGTGACGCTCACAGCTTCGCTCTGCCACACACACCCTGCCCCTGCCATCTGGCACCCCGACTAGAGGCCCTCAGCAACAGGGCCACTCAATCACAGACCCATGAGCTAAATAAACCTTTTCAAAATAAGCAAATCATCTTGGTATTTTGTTTTCATGACTTGAAGCTGACTAATACACTCTGAAAGAAGTAGTTCTAATGAAATTCTTTATTCACTATTAAGGTTGGTCTCTACTGCAAATGCACAAAGTGGAATCTTTAAAATCATAGGCTTTGGTCCTAGGCTAACTGGGTTTGAATTTCCGATTTGCTATGTGCTGGGCAAGTTATTTATCCTCTCTGTGTCCCCATACAGAATGGCTGGTGAGGCCTAGTGAACACACTTATTTCAAGGGCTGAGACAGGACCTGGCCACAGAAAGCCTTTTCAGCTTTTTTCAAAAATCTTAAGCTCTTTCTTCTTTTGCTCCTTTCCTTCTTCCATTCTTTCTTTGTGGTGCTGGAGATGAAACTGAGGGAATCATGCTAGGCAAGGGCTCTACACTGAGCTACACCCTCAGCCCCTTAGGGAGCTTCTTATTATTAGGGACTGCTATTACTACATGATGTTCACTATCCCACTTACTGTATTCCACTTCTTGATATTTCTATTATTTCCTTTATTCTTCCCATACTGTAAGTTCAGAGCTTTTCAGGCTTCTCTTTCCTCTTGGTGCTGACTTATAGAATTCCAGAGCTTGTCCTTAAAAACCACAGGCTGTCCAGATGGCGAAAAGAACCTCAGCCAGAGAAGGAGAAAAGGATTCCTCTTTCTACCAGGCTGTAGAAGAGCAAAATCCAAGCTCTGGCATCAAACTGCCCTTCTGGCCAGGTGTGGTGGTGCATAGCTGTGATCCCAGCACTTGGGAGCCTGGGGCAAGAGGATCACAGTGAGTTCGAGACCAGCCTGAGCTACATAGTGAGACCCTGTCTCAAAAAAACAAAACAAAACAAACAAAAAACTTCCCTGCTGTTATTTCAAAGGCTTTGTGTAAAACACCTGAGCTGCAAAGATTGTTAAGTGTTCTTTACCTCTAGGAGGCTTGGAATTCTGACTGGCAGTTAGTGACTGGTTGTTCTTATGAGAACATCTAAATGGACATCCCTGCCTTCTCAAAGGTATAAACAGTAGGGAACATTTTTGTTCAGACAAAGGATTCACTGCCTCTTCCCCTTTCTCCCTTCAGGCAGTGACAAATCCAGCCCAGCGGTTGACCCTGACCTACAAGATCAAAACTAGATCTAGGCAGTTGTCCAGAGCGTTATACTATTGAGATTTGGGGGTTGTTTGTTACTGTGGTGTGGTGGATTAACTAATGGTCAACTTGTAATGCCCAGCTGAACTGAGTCAGCGTGGTCTGGGCATGGAAGACCCACCTGAGGATTATTGCCAATAGCACAGAAAGAGAACAGGAAAGGAAGACGTGGGCTGCTGATTTTCTAGGAGAAGGTTGCTGAGGTTGGTTTTCCTGATTCGAACTTGGCTATTCTCTTGTCGAAGGAGCTCAGGGCCTTGCTGTCACCAGGAGTGGCTGCTGTTCTCATCAGGAGAGCTCAGGTCTTCACCGTGAGCATCACTTACTGGCTCCAATCCCTCAGCCTGGTATAAATCCTTCAGCTCACCAGCCCAGGTTTTCTGGCTTCTACTGCTGGCCTTTGGGCCTTCCAGGTACAGATGCTTGATAAGGGTAAGCATGAGACATTGCCATAGGTGCTAGGCCACTGCCTTGACTCTAGGCCTTCAGCTGGACTTGCGTGGGACATTGCTGTGGGGTCTAGGCCCTTGGCTGGATTCTTTGGGTCACTAGTGCGCAGCTAATCTCTTGCACTCCTCTGCATTTGACCTTCTGGGTGACTATTATAAAATAATCCTATAACTTATGTGTCCTGTATTACATCTATCCCCTTGTAAACCGACTACAACATGCGGCATAGCCTAGCCCAGCCTAATGATACACCAAGACTCTACTTGATTTCTTCGTTTTTTTTTTTTTTTGGTACCGGGGATCGAACTCAGGACTCTGTGCTTTCGAGGAAGGCGCCAGAACCCCTGAGCTAAATCCCCGGCCTCTACTTGATTTCTTATGAACAAAAATTTGGTTTGGAAATTGTAGTGGTTTTAAGTGGCTCCATAGTAAGAGATTTTCTGCAGGTGCTGCTGCCTTGGGATGACGATGGCCTTGGAGCAAGCATTAAACCAGGCGAGCCCTACCAGGCCCACAGTAACACTGTTTCCAGGAGGGAAATCTGCCAGCAGCAATGAGGGGCAGCAGGATTGGGCTGTGGTGGGGAACTGGCCTCAGGGACGTGTGGGTGAGGGGATAGTACCTTTATGGGGTCACAGTCTGGTCTTCAGATTCACTGGGCTGGAAACTCCATCTTGACAGCGGCCTGAAAGTGAACAAAGGTGGAGATACTGACTCAAGCCCACTTGCCAAGTAGGTGAAAGGTAACAGTTAATGGTTATTGAGCACTGACCATGTAGCCAGCAAAGGCTAAGGCCATTCATTCATTCAATGATTTCCTGGCTTGTGCCAGGAATTAGACAGGAACTAGCACAGCCCCTGACCTTGAGAAGCTCACATCCTGGTAAGGGAAGACATTAATAAACAAATGAGCAAGTGACTGCTGAATAGGTCAGATAGAGACAGTACTAGAGGGACAATAAAATACCCTAGAAAAAAGGGATGCTATGGAGGTTGGCAGCTCAGTATCAATACAAGGAGGTCAGGGAAGGGATCACCGAGGGAAGTTGGGCTGTGAGACAGGGACATATGGAGAGGAGCCCTTCAGAAAGAATTTTCAGTGCATTAATGGTTTACTCCACACCATAGCCCAAGGGGTAGGTTCCAGAACTACTCTCCCAGGTACCAGGCATTAAACCAGTCTCATGCATGCTAAGCAAGTGCTGTACAACAGAGCTGAATGCCCAGACCTTTGGTAGGACGGTAACATGTATTTTCCAAAGAGAAATGAGATGCACAAAGTATTTCTAGTCCTGTGTGCTCTTCAAAACCTGGTAATGCCTTCCACCAAGAGCCAGGGCTCTGTCGCTGCCCCGTTAGGTCCTGTTAGAGCTTGTGATGGCTCCTACCAATAAGGATGGGTGGATGTGATGCCATGGGACTTCTGAGGCTGAGTCCTACAAAGGTTGCAATTTGCACCTTGGCTGGCTTGCTCAGGTACTCACGCACAGCACCCAGTTTCCACTCTGAGGCAGCCTAAAATAGTCCGGGTTGAGAGACCACAAGGAGCAGCCCAGATGGGAGAGGAACTGGGGTCCTGGGAAACAGCCAGCATCAGCTGCTGAACATGGGAGGCAGCAAGATCAGGTAATTTAAACTCCAGCCTTGGAGTCTTCCTGCTGAGGCTGCAGATGTCATGGAACAGAAACACACCATCCTGCTGTGCTCACTCTGAAATCCTGGCCCACAGAATGCAGGAGCTTGGTAAATGGCTCTCTTATACCACCACATTTTGGGGTATTCTACGCCATCACTGGAATAGGAAGTAACCTAAAGCTCAGAGAAGTTACAGCACTTATTAACAACAGCTCCCATCTCCTGAGTTCAATATGTGCAGGTTGCAATTCCTACAATCACTTTCCAAGAATGACTCTTCCCTTTAAGGAGTTGTGGCAGCAGAGGCTCAGAGGGACACTGACTTGCCCAAGACCTCAAAGCTCTTCAGGGGCAGAACCAGAGGGAAAATCATCCCATCTTTCAGGCCCACAAACTGATGCTCAAGGGCCACTCACCTCGAAAAGAACTCAAACCCGGAGCTCTAAAGTTCATGTTCTTAATCTGGTACCAACTTACAAAGTGAAAATGAAAAGCTAGACTGGCTTCTTAGGGCTGCAGGTCAGAACATTCTCAAAGATTTTCATCTAGAAGCTTATGTTGAATGTGGAACCAGGCCAGGAGAGATACTGGGTTTTTAAACCATGGAGCCCTCAGCTCCTACATCCTGTCACCAGCCTAGTCTAGGCCTCCATTGCTCCCTTGAGCTACCACAGTTACCTCCTAACTAGAACTCCTACTTCTACCCTCCCTGCTACAGTCTGCTCTCAAAACAGCAGTGAGGGATCCACTGAAAATCAGCCCCTGCCTCTCCTCTTCAAAGCCAGCAATGGTTTCCATTTCAGATACAGTGAAGGCCAAAATTTTTACCAGGGCCTATGATTTGCTATCTCCCCACTCCCCCTCTGGTTCACACTGGCTTCCCTGCTTTTCCCTAAATAAATAACATTGCTAAATAACATTGCTGCCCCCAGGACCTCTGTTCAAACATCACCTCAGTGAGAATTTCTTTGACATGATTTATTCGTAGCACACTCGGTCCTCCTTACCCCATTTTATCTGTCTTCAATGTGCTTGTCCTCACCTGACAAACTTACTGCTGACTCCTCTAGCTAGAACAGAAGTTTCCAGATGGCAAGAACTTTAGTCTGCCTTGTTCACCACAGAATCCCCAGAGCTTCAGCCAAGCCTAGCACAGAGCAAATACTTGATCCATGTTTGCTAAGTGAATAGATGGATTGTCTCTTCCACACAAAAAAAGCCTGCCAAGAAGGCAGGAGAGGCCCCTGGCAGGCAAGTCTAGACAGCAAGCCAGAGACCCAATGTTCAGAGTCAAAATTACCTAGTTGGCTGCATCATCTCCAAAGGTTTGTGTTTTGTTTTTTTTTTTGCTTCAAAAGAGAAAGATACAGTGGTTAAGAACATGAACTTGCCTGGGTTTGAATCCTGCTTCTGCCACTTACTGATGGAGGCAATTTCTTTTCTTGTTGTGGTGCTGGGGATTAAACACAGGGCCTTAGGCATGGTTGGGAAGTGTTCCACCACTGTGCTATATTATAACAACCCTTACAGAAGAATTTTAACACCTCTGTGCCTGTTTTTCCATTTGTAAACTGAGAACTGGGCATTTACTCTTGGGTTCTGAAGTTTATAGTACCAACCCACAGTGGGCACTTGAGAAACATTAGCTATTCTAAGGATTCTGTTCCATTCATTTCTAGCAAGTGGCCACAGGCCAGTTGATTCCAACCCCAGGACATCTGCACCTGCATTTCCCTCTACCTCTTCCCACAGGTGTGCGTGACAGGTGTGTCTCAACATTCAGAATTTTGAATATTTGCAACTTTTTAGATTTTACAACATATTATATATTAACTACTGACAGGACATAGGAGTATGATTTGTGCAGCAAATCTCTGAAGATGACAGATTCATGGTAGATCAGATCGGGTGTTGCCAGCAAAGGCTAGGTCCAGTTGGGACACCAAGAGATTTGGAAGGCAGAAAAAACTTTGTGTTTTGACAACTTTTGGGGTTTCGAAGTAGGTAAAGTATTGTGGACCTGTAACTACTACATAATTTACTTTTTTTTTTTTTTTTGGTATCGGGGATTCAACTTGGGTCCTTGCGCTTGCGCAGCAGGCGGCGAAACCACTGAGCCAAATCCCCGGCCCCACAATTTACTTTTTACTTTGGGTCTGCATCATAACCATTAGAATGTAAACTAGGGCAGGGGAGTTTTTAAAAATTGTAAAAAGAACTGTCCTATGGGAGTAGGCACCCCACATGTAGAATAAATAGAAGTATCTGTGCACAGAGTCTTACTTCCGGAATGAGCTCAATAATATGGATGGATGAACAAGAAGAGTCTCAGAGTGCTGAAGTCCCTTGTCTACGATCACACGGCCAGCTGAGGGCTTAAACCTCAGGCTCCAATTCTCTGGCCAGACTTTATTCATTCATCCACTTACTGTAGCTATTCAACGACTATATATTAACATCTGCTATGTGTCAACTACTGTGCTCCTCCTGGGTTCAAGACAGCACGGTGAAAGGGCAAGGCTAAAGGATTGCTCTACCCCAGGCATACAAAAGACCATGACAAGGGCCGGGGATTTAGCTCAGTGGTTCTGCCGCCTGCCTTGTAAGCGCAAGGTCCTGAGTTAGATCCCCAGTACCAACAAGAAGCAACCGTGACAGCGACTCGGCCTCGGATGACTTACTGCCGGGGCGGGGCGTCAGTTAAACACTCACAAACCCCGACCACCGCCGGTTTAACCACCCCCACCGCCAGGATCTTCTCTGGGTACAACAGGGTGAGGGGCGGCCCGTGTCTCAGCTACCAGGGTCCTCGCTCGTCGGGACGCCAGCCCGCCGGGGCTCCACCTCCCACAAAAGGTGATGACGTCACAGGCACCGCGACCGAGCTGTGGCCAGCGGCCGGGAACTTCCCGCGGCCCCGCCTCGCCTTCTCACGCCTGTACTTGGGGAGAGGGGATAGGGTCCCTGGTTTCTGCGGCCGGACTCTACGATCCCCCGCAAGGACTGTGACTTACCTTCTTTGGCTGTCCAGCGGAAACTTCCGCTTAGGCCGGAGGCGCTGCGCGCGCATCCTCCACCCCCACAACCAGTCGACGCCCGCGCAGGCGCTGCTGACTTCCCAGCTACCCGCCCAGGCAGTACCTATCTGGAACCGCATTTCCCAGACGCCTTCGCGGAGTGGCCCTATTCCACTCCGGAATTCTTGCTCCTTCTACTGCGCATGTACCAGTACGAGGCCAATCAAGATGAACTACAGGGCACCTCGCTACCAATCAGATTACATTATGCTTTAGTTCCTCCCCCTATTTTCGCGCGCTGTTTCAGGAGTTTCCACTTCTTCCTCAACGGGTCTCCATGGGAACCCTCTGTTGTCTCTTTAGAATTGGAAAAGTTTAGGAAAGGCAGGAGTGGGTTAAGGTCCCTTAATAGGGTAAAAGTTGGACTAAAAAACCCTGACGCCACCTAGTCCTCTTTATTTATCCTGCTTCCCAGAGTACTCAGCGGGGCCTCTGAGGATGAAGAAGCGGGTGGAGCCGATAGATATAGGCTCCCGCACAGCCCTCTGGGAAATACAGTCCCGCTGCCTGGCGCGGAGGGTCCTGGTTAGAGGAGTTCGAGGCTCTTCGCTGGGCGCTGGAAGTTTCTGTGAGGAGGTGCGCGTGACCGGTTGGGTCTCCTGTTCTTTCGCAGCCCAGGACGGGAAACGTCTATTAACCCGTCGGACAGCAATCTCGAGGTACATTGGCGCGCGGTGGCTGGGGTCCCAAAAACCTTGGAGGCTTGCAGGCTCGGTCCTTTTCGAGGGCTGACAGAATCCAGTGGCCCGACTTCGGCTGGGTCTTATTAATGCGGTTTCCAGTCCTCACGGGCATCCGGGAGAGGAGTGATGCTATTTTATTCTACTTTTGGTTGAGGAGACAGGCAGAAGAATGAGTTAGCTGAAGTCGGTAGATCTGGGCAGGATCCTGAAGGGAAAATACGCCCCCCCCCCCTTTAGAAGCAAGGTCTCACTATGTAAGTTCAGGATGGTCTAGAACTCACTATGTAGCCAAGGCGGATCTCAACTCGCGGCGATCCTCCAGCCTGAGCCTCAATCCTGAGTGTTGAGATTACCGGCTAAGAATTAGAGTTCTTGAGGTCGAAGTATTTAAATACATTTATATGAGTGCTTTCTGTGCATCAGGAGCCTTGCCTTTCTTGAATCTTTTCTATTAACCTCACACCAGCACTGAGACCTAAGTGGAGGTCCTGGGTCTTATACTTTGCCCTTGACACTGGGGTCATCTCGAGAATTGGAAGTTTTCAGATTTTAGAAAGAATTTGGTGCATATTTCATAATTAAGGACCCCCCACCACCACCACCACCTCCAGAGGAATCTAGGGCAATTCTTGGTCATCAAATATTTCTGTGGGAAAAGATGTGCATACTAAAGGCTGCACATAGCCTGTACAGTTCTGGTTTTTAGATCCGTTTGGTTTTTGGAACTGTAGCAAAAGGACTGTGAATCTGCTGTGTTGTATTTGTCCCAGTTTGCACATGTGGAAACTGAGGCTCAGAGAGGATAAATTATCTGACCATGGACCCCCACTGAGAAGTGACAAGACTCCAGGGCCCCAGGTTTTTGAGCCCCCTTTTTGCTTGGCTTAAGTCACAAGTTTGGTGATGGTGGCCTCACCTGAGGACCCTCTCACACTCGACCCCCACCCCATCTCTTCCTTCCCAGATCTGAGTATTATAGTGTGAAACATGAAACCTAAGCCACTCCATTTTGAAAAAGGACCTCCGTCTTGTGAAGACCTGACCGGGTGCAGAACCCTGGTTCCAGGAAAAACCACAGGATGTACTTTGGCTAACTGCCCCTAACAAACTCCCCCTGGAAACAGCCAATCAGCAAATAGGAAGAAAGTACCCAAGTTACCAGATGTTCCTTTAGATAGCTTATGCAACCGTTTGTGGTTTGTCCCCACACAATCAACCAATAGGAGATTGACAAGGTACCCTACCTAAATGTCATCCAATCAAAAAAAGAGATGCCAAGCTGAAAACCCCCTATCCTGGCTGTACTGGCTGTAACCGCAATAAAAACTCTGCTGATTTGGAGTTTGGGGCTCTCAATCCAGATCCGCTGCGTCGGTGATGGTTGTGAGCCCGTGCTCGAGCTTGAATAAACGACCCTCGTGTGTTTGTATTGGAATCGGCTCCTTGGTGGTCTTTGGGGACTTCGCGATCTGGGCATAACATTTGGGGGCTTGTCCGGGATCCCCAAGACTCCTAGGACCCCTGAACCGGAGGGTCAACACCGGCCGGTAAGCACCTCTGTGTCTGTCTCTTGTCAGTGTGTCTGTCGTCGCGGCCGCCCTCTGAGGTGATCGGCTACAGGTCTAAGCGGACGCGCGGGCGGACCGCCGATCCGGGGTACTGGGAGATGTCCCAGACCCCCCCTGGTGGGGACGGAGTGCCCCTGGTTACTTTGAGTCTAAAGAACGGACGAAGCGGGTCGCTCCTGTAGCACGGCGTGAAGCCGTCATCCTACTTTCGGTTTTGCCTCCGAACGCCTGGAGGACTGTGTAGTCTTGCTTTCCGTTTGTCTGTGTGGCTGACCTGTCTCTCTATTGCTTTTTATTTTCATTTGACTGAGACTGACACGATGGGACAGACTCGGTCGACTCCACTTTCTCTGATGACGGATCATTTCAAGAAAGTTAGAGAGAGAGCACATAACTTAAGTATAGAGATCGAGAAGGGCAAACTAATTACGCTTTGCAGGTCCAAATGGCCAACCCTCGTCTCCAACTGGCCAGCAGAGGGGTCCTTGGACCTCGGCTTGATACACCGAGTCAAGGACGCCATCTTCCGCCTGCAGGGAGGGCATCCAGACCAGGTGCCCTACATTGTGGTCTGGGAGGATTTGGTCCTCAACCCCCCACCTTGGATAAAACCTTTCTTGTCCCCTCAGAAACAGCTCGGGACTGTGCTAGCGGTTCAGGAGCGAAAGGAAAGATCGCTCGGCAGAAGCGAAACTAGCCCGTCTGCCCCGTTTTATCCCATCCTCCAAGGGGGGACAGATGAAGAACTTATTTTTCCCCCTCCCTACCAGCCCCCTTGACCACAACCCCAGGCCGAAGATCTGGAAGGACCCCCGGGGCCATCTGGGGCGGTGGGAGGGAGCTCTGGTCCAGCCCAGAACACTCGAGGCCGACGTGCAGCCTCACCTATGGGACCGGCTGATTCCACTGTCCTTCTGTTGCGGGGAACAGGGCCACCCGATGATAACGGGAATCAGCCTCACCACTATTGGTCCTTCGCCACTAGTGATCTTTATAACTGGAGAGCTCAGCATGCTAAGTTCTCTGACAACCCCAGGGAATTGATTAACTTGTTAGAAACAGTTCTGTTCACCCATCAGCCCACATGGGATGACTGCCAGCAGTTGCTGCAGATCCTCTTCACTACGGAGGAACGTGAGAGAATCCAAACTGAGGCCAGAAAGGTGGTACCGGGCGCCAATGGCAAACCTACCACCAATATAGACCTCATCAACGCCTCCTTTCCTCTTTCCCGCCCAGACTGGGACTTTAACACGGCCACAGGTAAGGAGAGGCTCCGGATCTACCGCCAGACTCTGTTGGGAGGTCTCAAAGCAGCTGCAAGATGGCCCACTAATTTGGCAAAGGTAGGAGATGTACAACAGGGTAGGGAAGAGAGCCCGGCAGCCTTTCTAGAGTGGATCATGGAGGCTTTCCGCCAATACACCCCCATGGATCCAGAGGCCGCCGAGACCAAGGCTGCTATCATCATGGCTTTCATTAACCAGGCAGCCCCAGATATTAGGAGAAAATTACAAAAGATAGATAGGCTAGAAGAAAAGTCCATCCAGGACTTAATAGCGGTGGCGGAGAGAGTCTACAACACCAGGGAAAGCCCTGAGGACAAGCAGGCTTGAGCTAATGATCACCAGACACGTAACCTGGCCTGCATCCTGCTTGCCTCCACCACTGGGGAACCGAAGGAACGAGAACGTCGCCTCCGAGAGATTGTCTCTGAGAGATTGGGAAGGAAGGCCAAGGTAAGCGAGACCGTCGAGAACGCCCCTGCCTGGGGAAAAATCAATGTGCTTACTGTAAAGAGGAAGGACATTGGGCCAAAGAATGTCCCAAGAAAAAGGAACGGGGTAAGACCCCCATCCTGGCTATGGATGAACTGAGTGATTGGGGGGATGGGGTTCAGACCCCCTCCCTGAACCCAGGGTAACCCTAAAAGTGGAGGGAACCCCCATACAATTCTTAATAGATACAGGAGCTTGGCATTCAGTTCTCCTCGAACCGAGAGGGCACCTCTCGAGCGAAACCTCTTGGGTCCAAGGAGCTACAGGCATGCACAAATATTCATGGACTACCCGAAGGACAGTGGACCTCGGTGTGGGCCAGGTATCCCACTCGTTCCTAGTTATTTCTGATTGCCCTTACTCCTTATTGGGTCGAGACCTGCTCACTAAATTAGGAGCTCAAATTCATTTTCAACCTGGAAAGACCGAAATACTAGAAAAGGGAGGCCGATTCAGGTTCTAATGCTCAGCCTTGAGGACGAATACAGGTTACATCAAGGCCCCCAGAGTCCAGCCACTGACATGGATCCCTGGCTCCTGCAGTTTCCACAGGCATGGGCTGAGATGGGTGGGATGGGGCTGGCTAGCCATAGACCCTCGGTTTTCATAGAACTAAAGACCGGGGCTGACCCAATGCGGGTCTGCCAATACCCCATGTCCCTCGAGGCCAGAGCCGGGATCACTGCACACATCCGGAGGTTACTATCTCAGGGAATCCTTAGGCCATGCCAGTCCGCCTGGAATACTCCCTTACTACCAGTCAAAAAGCCTAATTCCAAAGACTACCGACCAGTCCAGGACCTCAGAGAGATCAATAAAAGGGTTATGGACATCCACCCTACTGTCCCTAACCCTTATACCCTTCTGAGCTCTTTGCCACCCAGCCATCAATGGTACACTGTCCTGGACCTCAAAGATGCATTCTTTAGCCTTCCGTTGGCCCCCAAAAGCCAAGAGATTTTCGCCTTCGAATGGTCGGACCCTGAAGAAGGCATCAACGGACAGCTTACCTGGACTAGGTTGCCACAAGGGTTCAAGAACTCCCCCACTATCTTCGATGAGGCCCTCCACGAGGACCTGGGTGAGTTCTGCTCCCAGCACCTCCAATTGACTCTGTTACAATATGCAGATGACCTGTTAATAGTGGCAGAAGATTACCAGACCTGCTTGAAGGGGACCCAGGACCTGTTAAAAACCCTGGGAGGCCTTGGGTATCGGGCCTCGGCCAAAAAGGCCCAAATCTGCAGACCAGAGACCCCGACTTATAAGCACCACTCCATGACTGTGCTGGGATCTTGGCTCAAATACACAGCACCAGGACAGATTTGAGAGATCAGCCTCTCCCTGATGCGGAAAACGCCTGGTACACAGACGGGAGCAGTTTTGTCCAGGATGGCAAAAGGTACGCTGGGGCGTTGGTGGTCACAGAGGACTCTGTTGTTTGGGCTGAGCCACTGCCAGCAGGGACTTCTGCGCAAAGGGCAGAACTCATTGCCTTAACAAAGGCATTAACCTTGGGGAAGGACAAGAAGCTAAACATTTACATGGACAGTCGCTATGCCTTCGCGACTGTCCACATCCATGGGGCCATATACAAAGAGAGGGCGCTCCTTACGGCAGAGAGCAGAAG